CAGTAATGATGCTCATTACCCATGCTGTTGGAGCCGAGCTGCACCAATCACATCGGTGTATCTGATATAGGCGGACCAGAGGGGAGCTAAACAGATGACAACAGCGCTGTGACGACGACGTCGGAATCAGTCAGTAAACATTGCAAGATGGCTACGGATGAACACCAGCTGTTTGAAACGGCTTTGGCAGCTACAATGAAAGAGTTAGACTTGGCTTTTTCTCTAAAAGAGGAACAGAAGACGGCGCTCGAATCTTTCCTTTGCAAGAAGGACATTTTTGCTGTTTTGCTGACCCGATATGGCAAGAGTCTAATCTACCAGTTAGCTCCGCTGGTAGCTAAGTGTATATGTCACCCCGTGTATTGTTCTGATTGGTCGCAGTGTTATCCAATTGCGTGCAGTGATATTTACAAATGCATGCTTGGTGCCGCCCCTCGAGTTGGGCCATTTTCATTACTCATAGCCAGACCTTAAATCTTTCTAGATTTGGGTCTGGATTTCCAGGCTAAAGATGATATACAATATTGAAAAAAAACAAAAAACGCAACGTCTCTTATTTTCAGGTGGTTACACGCTAAAGAAGAGAAAAAGAAAAAGAAAACATAATATTCGCCATTTCTACCTGTGTATTCCCCTAAATCCTACACAGTGGACCTTTAAGTTGTGCCAACACTTGGTTGGTAAGGAAGGAGGAGAGGAAGAAGGGACAGGGATATTTTTGGTTTTCTTGTCTTACATGAAGTATTTAGCAATTTAATGGATTGTGACACGTCTCAGGCTTAAGGCATTAAAGAGGCCCTTAAAACTGTAAAATCACAGGAAATGAAACCTGCATACAGAACGTATGTGCTCATATCTCCTGAGTCTCTGAACAGACTCCATACACCTGCCTGTTTGCAGGTATTCTCTCAGTCCTTTCAGGCTCTATCATCATCTAGCAGCTGGTGAAATGATGAAAAGCACAAACAGAATTTTGGGATGTGAAGTGAATGAAATGTAAATGTCTTTAGATTCTGTCTGCAGCACGTGTCTGTCTCCCGTGTCCTAAATGTGGGTTTAAAAACACTATTGATTGTCCTTGTTTCATATTTACAGATGGGAAGCTGGATGTGTTTCAACACAACAAACTGCTCACATCGATAACAGTGTGGACCACGTTTGGAGAACTAGCCATCCTGTACAACTGCACACGGACCGCATCAGTGCGAGGTAAAGATTTTCTATACAGTAAAAACTAAACTTCTCCGGATCAGTATTTACTTGTGCAGCTCCTGCATCAGGTGGCAGCCATTTTTCAGATGAGCAGTCAGTCAGTGTGTCTGTCATGGTGGATGACGGACAGACTGACAGCTGCAGGAAGTGAATCTGTGACCTTGGGGCAGACACAAGTAAATGTCACGTAACAAAAGTTCAATGCTGTGTCCCATTACTTCCCTTTGCTGCACTCCTTCCCTCTCACACTGTGTGTTCACATGAAGTAAAGCAGCGTCCCAATTCCAAACTTTTCTACATGAAGTTCTGTTTTTAACACATAATCAGCACCAGTATAAGCTGCACACACTGCAGAGTGAGGCACAGAGCAGTTTAGAGGCAAAGTGTAGTGAAGGGTTGTGTCAGGTAGCTGGAACGTGCTGGGGAATATAAGACAATACAAATACACACACAAAGACAGACTCATAAGGTGAGGAAAATATTAGCTGTCACGATGTTGCAGTGGTTGGTAACAAATTCAATTTAAAAATTGATCATAGCATTAGTTGAGGCAGGATACAATATCATTGATTGTCATTGATGCCTTCTGTTTTGTTCCCGGGGAGTTTTTGCTGCTGCTCTCCCTGCCTTAGGTTTTCCATGTAGGCGCATGGAAGGGCAGAGAGGTTTGCTCTTTCTGCCTTTGGCTGTCCTCATAGGGACATGGAAGAGGCTTTCTGCATGGAAGAGGCCCCAGAACAGAGCCATACCGCCAAATATAAATATGATACTGCAAATGGTGATAAAGTTTTCTTTGACTAAAGTGCCCCTGGCTGAATTATGATAATTTCATGACAGAGAGGAACAACATGCATCTTCATGGATGGGTTGTCCCTAGTCTCCGATCCTGTTTGTGATATTCATGGACAGGATCTTGAGGCGCAGCCGGGGGGAGCAAGGGGTCCAGTTTGGGGACCTCAGAATTACATCTCAGCTTTTGGCAGATGATGTGGTTCTGTTGGCTTCAACCCACCATGACCTCCAGCAGGCACTGGGGCAGTTTACATCCAAGTGTGAAGCATTCAGGATCTGCTGGGAAAAGGTGGATTGCCCCCTTTGGGTTGGGGGAGAGTTACTGCCTCAAGCGAGGGAGTTCAAGTATCTTGGGGTCTTATTCACGAGTGAGGGTAGATTGGATTGTGAGATGGATTGGTGGTTTGTTGCGGCTTCTGCAGTGATGAGGGCGCTGTGCCGGTCCATCGTGGTGAAGATTTACCGGCCCATCTACGTCCCAACCCTCACCTATGGCCATAGGCTCTGGATAGTGACCGAAAGAATGAGATCGTGGATACAAGCAGTGGAAATGAGTTTCCTCTGAAGGGTGTCTGGACTCAGCCTTAGAGATAGGGTGAGGAGCTCAGACATCTGGAGGGAGCTCGGAGTAGAGCCGCTGCTCCTTTGCGTCGAAAGGGGTCAGTTGAAGTGGTTCGGGCATCTGATCAGGATCCTCCTGGGCGCCTCCTGCTTGAGGTGTTTCGGGCACGTCCCACTGGTAGGAGGCCCGGGGCAGACCCGGAACACCTCAGGGTCCTCCAGGAGGAGCTGGAAAGTGTTGCTGGGGAGAGGGACGTTTGGGGTGCTTTGCTTGGCCTGCTGCCCCCGCGACCTGGCCCTGGATAAGCAGATAAAAATGGATGGGTTGATGTGTAGATGTTATGGATTAGTCAGATTTCACATGAGGTTAACAACAAAGCCGCTACCACCTGCAGAACTTTGACTTTCGCATGAGGGTAACAGTACCTCTTTCATGATATCACAGTGATCAATGAAAATGTCTCCTGCTCTGTCCATTACTTTTAACATTATATCCTCTTATATCCCACCAACGCACTCCTGACTCCTGAATGTAACCTAAAACTTCATCTGACCTTCATCTGAGCTGCAGTGACTTCTTGAAGGAATCACCTGACGGCGAGAGCAGGAGAATCAGATAGGTCATTAGACCAAAGTAAACAAGCTTTTGCATCGGGTGTGTTGACAAAGGCTTTACATGATACCCACAGCTTTGCATTCTGATTGGTTTTCACCTTCTTGGCATCTGGAAAGCACATACCATGTACTATGTGAGTGCTCTTTGTCAGGGTTTGTATATTTAACCAAGTAATTGACATGTGGCCCTCGGGGGATGGGCACCGAGTTGACCTCAATAATCAGGGTGAACTAGAAAAACCGTGACAGTTTGACAAGCCTCTCTGAGTGGCTTTTACATGATAACAGATGAAGTGGATGAAGGGGGACTCTTTCTTTGCTACCGGTTCACGTCAAACTTTCACTCTGACTTCCTCCTTGTACCAACAGAAGCCTGTCTCAGAGTTTCTGTAGATTGGATGTGATTCACCATCGAGATAGACGACAGATTACTGTGTTTTTCTCGCCTCCTTTGTCCATCTGACAAAATAAAACAATACAGAATTACTATGTGGTGATAGAGGGCTGTGTTTAAACTAGAAAATTGTATGAAAGATAAGGAAGGGGAAAAGAAAATGTTAATTTTTGTCGTTGTCACTCACAGTTTTGTCATGGTTATCAGTGTACAAGTTCCCCTGAACACTCTGCTATTGAAAACAGCTGTGGCTCCTTTAGTATTTACTAATCAAGGGCACAGGTTAACTAGTTTTTCATTTAGAGGTCAGAGCTTTGTGACAGATGTGATGTTGCTTTTACAGCGGTGAACAGAGTGAGGACATGGGCTTTGGACCGGGAGGTGTTTCAGAACATCATGAGGAGGACGGCTGAGACGCGACATGAACAGTACCGCAACTTCCTCCGAAGGTTAGCCTCAAGCTGTAGCCAAAGAGCTATCGACCTACTGTTATAATTCTTGTAAGCAATAACATGCAACAAATTTCCCGCTATAAGAAAGTAACAAGCATAATGGAGTCAAAGAATGATATGTGATGTATGATACATGATTTTAACGGACTCCCGCGGGCTAATTACGAGTGTCAGTCTAGTTCAGACCAAAGATTCGCAACAAGATGAAACTGTTTTAGAACGTTGCAGAGAAAAGTTGCAGCGGTGTGAACTGGCCGGTCTGAGCTTGACTCAACCCGGCTGATGGTGTCACCTGCAACTCAGCTGGTCAAATGTCTGGTTTTAAAGCTTGTCACCTGTTTCTACAGTCGATGGGACTGTGGTGAAGTCTGCTGGTCAAGTCGAAAGCCCTTTTTAAACAGGAATTGTGCAAATTTGCAGGAAAGCCCAGTCAGTCTTTTTTCAGCATTGGCAGTATAAAAACAAAACCGAGTGCAGCAAAATGCCACCTGCCTACTTTTGTTTATACAGAATGTGCCTTTTTCGGGGCAATGGGGGGCGTGAGCAAGTAACAAAACATGTAGCTCAGCATGTGACATAAACAGTGACGTGGGAGGGAAGCCGCGGCTGGTCAGTCCTTCGGTGATTCTCTCTTAAGTCGGCCCGTCCTTCACCGTCCCCGTCATTTGACGGCTAATGGCCTCTGTGTTTGCGAGGACAAGGAGGGCGCACAATTCCTTGTCTCCCCAGTTGCTCATCTTTACAGTGTCTGTCAAATTTGTGTTTCCCTCTTGCTACTAGCTGCTCGCTAATTCCTGCTATCAGCTGTTTCCTGTTTATCCACCGCCAGTGGATCGCACGTGCAGCGTCATCAACAGCTCCTCCCACAAGTCTTCAACAGCCCGTCCCGTTGCGGAAGGCTTCCTCATTCTTTTTAAGGGTTCCGCCAATATGTCTACCCTATGAGGTGGAAAATTGGGCACCTCAGATCAACTCGCCAATCCGGCTCTGTGTGTCTGAACGCTCGCAACTTGCCGGCAAAACGGCCCAACATTTGTGGAAAATCTGGCAGTGTGAAAGGGGGTAAAATGACCGCAGATGGCGTGTTTGCTTGCTGCAGCAGGTGCTCCATCCCCGCTTAGCCCTCTGTTTCCGTCCTCAGAGTGTGCCAGTTTTGGACGGTGGGTTGCTGCTGCTGCTCGCTGTATGAGCTTATGCCCCCCACAAACACACATTCTCATTGACTGATTACTTTGCGCTGCTTACTTATATAATTATGGCGTATTTATAATAATACAGTCCATCTCAGGCTTGTTTTATTTTTTTTCACCGTTTCATCTCTACAACAAATGCAGCTGTAGCCAGTATCTCACTATCACTATCCTCATTCATGTTTTAAGAAGCTACAAATTATATTCAGCCACAAAATAAACCTGAAAAGCTGCAAATCAGAACGGAAGTACAGAGAGTTGTTGCATAGAGATGATACACCATCTCATCTAGTTGCATTGATGTGAACCAGCAGGTTTTTAGAACGTTGCAGAACGACGCATTACAAGTAGTTGCATGTTTCAACTTGTCTCGTCGCGAATCTTTGGTCTGAACTGGGCATTAGGGCCATAAGGGAGGAGAGAGTGACAGCTAACGAACTAGTATGGCATGCCTCTTCTGACCCATCTATGAGGCTTATAAGCACAGATAACGGCCAGTTAATGGGCTGATAACTTCCCGATAGGGTGGTTAATATGAGTACTATCATAGAAAACCTTATGCTCATGCTATATTATTGTATAATTCTACATCAAATGTTCCTAGCATCATGTGCATAGTAATTTGTATAAAAAGGTACATGCAGAAATTAATCTTCATCATGTGTGTTTTGTCTTTTCTGCCAGTGTCTCACTCTTGGCTAATCTACCAGAGGACAAGCTGAGCAAAATAGTGGACTGCCTGGAGGTGGTAAGTTATTCTGTCAAACTATCTATATTCCTACCGAAGGGACAATTTGATTTTTCATTGTGTTGCCTCAGTATTGCACAACCCTCTGGCAGCTCATGGGAGCCCCAGCGTTGCAGATAGCTGCTGTCAAAATATCATTACCATTTGGCCATATACCATTACTGCGTGTCAGCATATTCTCTCTACCTCCAGTCGGCAAGACCTCACAAATTACCTTGTTGATGAACAGAGCCGATATTATTCCTGTCATCGCCGGGCGCTGTATATTGTTACCATAATTATTTGACCAAGGCCCCAGAAAGTGTTTATTCAAATGGGGGACGAGTGATTTCTTAAAGATGTGCGAGTGACAGGCTTTTGGTGTGAGAACATACAAGTGTGCAAAAGTGAATGTGTGTCTAAGTGTGTGTGTTGAAACATGCAGGAGAAGGGCTCGCCCGTGTTCTCCTCCATGAGCATTGTGTTTCAGTGGTGAAGGAGAAAACGGAGCGCAGCTTGTCAGCTTCGGGTCAAAAACAGCTTTTCTCAGCATCTTTTCACAATGAAAACTTCAAGGACGTTCCTTACAATCGGTAGTCGCCGTACTACTTTCCACTACGGGAGAATTTCCTTATTCAGTCATTTCTGATGGAGCTGATTGTGTTGCCTCTCGGGGGGGCGGCTGTAACCTAATAGTGGTGCAGATGTTCGTCGAGAATCCGCCAGATAATATTGAAGCTTCTTGTCAAACAGTGGGGGAATGGAATTTAGTGCGTTATGGGGTGTGTGTGTTTCTGCCTGTATAGAATATCTGTGTGTGTGTGTGTGTGTGTGTGTGTGTGTGTGTGANCATCTTTTCACAATGAAAACTTCAAGGACGTTCCTTACAATCGGTAGTCGCCGTACTACTTTCCACTACGGGAGAATTTCCTTATTCAGTCATTTCTGATGGAGCTGATTGTGTTGCCTCTCGGGGGGGCGGCTGTAACCTAATAGTGGTGCAGATGTTCGTCGAGAATCCGCCAGATAATATTGAAGCTTCTTGTCAAACAGTGGGGGAATGGAATTTAGTGCGTTATGGGGTGTGTGTGTTTCTGCCTGTATAGAATATCTGTGTGTGTGTGTGTGTGTGTGTGTGTGTGTGTGTGAGGGGGGGGTACCTTGCTTTCAGGATTCTCTGTCAGGTTTTCAGTCTGATCTGCTGATTGGATTTTGAACTGGAAAGCCTCAATGGGAAAGATGGAGCTCTGCTGAAAGCAAATTCATAAAATAAAAATGGAAATAGTTTATTGTTTCATTCAGTTATGATGTTGGCGTGAAACATATTGTACCCAGGATGCTGCAGGAATAAGAGGCTCTGCTTCCCATTCATTGTCTATGTAGGCAGCTGTGCAGTATGTTCTGGTAGCACTGTGCATTTTGGGAGACGGGGCATCATGTTGGCCCACTCCTCATTTACATGCCTTTAAGGTCTGAGCTACTTTATGCAAGGCGTCCAGTGTGACTCGCTGCTTCTGGAAGCTTGTGAAAATTTTGTAAACTAACAGTTGTCAATCTAAAATGAAGACGGACTCAGCAACTGCATTAGCCACTGCTGCTGTGTTAGCTTGTGCCAACTGGGCACATGTGGAACTGACCACCGCAAGGAGACTGTCGTTTAGCGCTACGTCTAAACTGTGTCACAAAAACGCTGAATCTTATAAATAACGTTATAAATCTCAACTCTTAAATTTGTTGAAACTAGAAGGCTTATGCTGTTTCTGTGCCTCTGTTTCACAGCTCTTCGTCAGGCGCTGTCTTAGATTCAGAGTGTATTATTATGAGCTATATGTATATCTATAGTTTATCCAGAATAAGAAAAAAATGTCACAGGCTGTTATTATGTCACAAAAACGAAGCTCTGGAGACCAACATATAGTGATTCTGGACAGCCCTACCAGCTCGTTCTCACTCCCAACTTGTCAGTCACAGTGGCCTTTGGAGAGCACCCTCAGCGGTGGTATGATACACATGGGACAACGACTGTTTCTAATGCAGTGGACAACTACCATAGAGAGCAAGAAAGGCCGCATTGGGTGGGTGGGAGTGGGGGGAGATGGGTCAAACCATGGATGTATGAAGAGACCTGGATACAGCCTTAAAGGTGGGACCCCGTTCATTCCTATAAAAGTTGCAGAGTGGTGCACAAAGCCACAGAAAGCTCTGACGCTGTGGTATGAAATTACCCAGATGACTCCCGGCTGTTGAGTTGGCTACTTCATGTTTGTGCTCCACCATCTTTAATGGGGATAAAATGATTTAATCTTGTGGACCAAATAAATTGAATCCTGACGGTGAAATGAGTTTCGTGGGGGTTGTGACGCACATAAAACTGTATTTACTGCTTCACAGAGAGTTTTTTTTAGACAACGTAGTGTGCTAGTGTGTGTAACAAGAGTACTTATTTTAAATCAAACCATGATGGGTTTTTTTAAAAGATTATTTTTTGGGCTTTTTTGCCTTTAATGAACAGGACAGAGTGAAATGGGGTGAGAGAGAGAGAGTAGGGGTTGACACGTGAATGGTTGCAAGCCAGAGTCGAACCTGTGACCGCTGCAGCAAGGCATTGTCTCTATACATGGGGCACCGGCACTATCCACTACGCTACCGACACCCCATGATGGGTTTTTTTTAAACCTAACCGCGGACTTTATTTGCGTAAACTTAAGGAAGGAAACCTGAGACAAAGTGTTTTACCTACGTTGTCAATTTATTTTGAAAGAGATCATACGCATTTAACGAGCAGAAACTGTCCATTTCCTGTTACAGCATGAGTGTATTTTGAAAAGACACAATGCATGTAATGAGCGTAAATTGACATGATGTCTCTGAACTTCCGAAACTGACGCAAGAGGATACCTAGCATGTCACAGATTGACATGAAAGTCCACTGACAAAGAGCTGGTATTTGATGAGTTGGGATGAGCCGCCTAAAATGTTTCCAGAAACACATTTCAGGGAACTATATTCATAATATAACAGAAAGTTTCCAAACAAGTCACAATGTTGGTCCTGTTTAAAATCCCTGAGCAGACAGCCAACGAAACAACGTGGTGCGCCCATTAAGTGTCCAGTACTGGGCAGCAGCACAGCCCCTTGCATCCAGAAACACCTCTGTGGAAATGTACTGTTAGGATGCTTAAAATAACTTGCTGGTTTGTAACAGCTTTAAAATTAATAAAAGAAAATATGTGTAGATAAATGCGGATCATGTTGAGACACAACATAGGCCACACATATATGGGCAATGTGAGGTATACATTATGTATAAAAACCTATTACATTGTGATACACCTCTCTGCAAATTAGGGATGAGTGAAAGTCAGTGTCCCCTTTTTAAATCATTCATGTGTGCACATGTCATGACTGATATTTCAACCGCTCCTTGAAGGCAGCAGGATGCTTTCAAGGAGCTGTACGGGACAACCAGCCCACATGGGGGCTGCTAAAGACTGGACCGGTCCTAAAATAGGTTTAATCCTTCCTCTGGTGTTAGAGTTTCTGTCCCTGAAAACCAGAGAGACACACAGTTGAATATGTGCAGTGACTGGTCGATTGACAGTTGCCAAAAATAGGGCGGCCGCAGCCAAACCCATCGCACACACACAGCTGAGCATAAGTGGCTTCCTCAAACACTGACATGAGCAAACCAAATCAGAGCAGGCTGATGGTGAAGATGAGCATTTTATGGAGGGACGTGCTTTCAAGCTTTCAGGTGAAAATGTCCTGAAAAGGTAAATGTTTGGCTCAGGTTCAGGATTCAGGCCCGGCAGCCTGGTGTAACAAACCCATCGACACAATTCAATTGGTGTCTCTCCCCTGCACAGTCGCTGTATCATCCAGACAGTCTTTATAAACAAAACCTTGGCATGTTGTCTCCGCTGTCACGGACGGGTGTTAAACTAGGCTCTCCTGAAGCGTAAACGTGACGTAAACAAGCTCGGACGCTCAAGGAAAATGCCACTTGTGTCAAGAGTTTTGACAGTAAACACCAGGGAATGTTTACGCGTGGTTGCTCTGATTTGTTTGTTCACTTTTCGCCAAAGTCCTCTGTAGTCAAATGGATTACAGCCGTGCACAGTTGTCTCAGCTGCGGGAATTTGGCGTCGGTCCCAGAGAACATTTCATCCTGGTCACCTTCATTCTCTGCACTTCCCCGTCTTCACCTAAAAGCTTTAACGTGGAAGGTGATCTGGCAGCTCGCTGATTCAGCAGCCTGGTCTTAGTGCTGTGGTTGGGACGGTGTGTTAGGTTTGGTGTGACTGACAGCATGAAATGGAGGAATCTGTGTTTGAATGAGAGCTCAGTGGGCTGAGAGAACGCGCTGTACCTCATTGTTTAATTCAAGAATATTTCACAGTGTCACTCAGCTTTATGATGCTCGTAAGACTGAGCTAAACAAACTTTCTAAGTCAAGTGTGATCTTATTTTTGCACCAACTGGAGTGTGTCAGAGCGAGCAGATGACCGGCCTTTTCACAAGCTCTGAGTCTGTCAGTTTATTCCACGACCACAGGAATGACTTGTTTCTGATTGGCTGACAGGACTCAGTTATAATCAAATCAAGACTCTTGAAGGCTAAAACACGATTCTGGATCAGTGTGAAAGGCATATGTAATCTGCAAGTAACCATAGCAACAATACTGATGCTCCAGGCTCCAGGGAAATGACTACAACCTCCTCGAGGCACGTTTACAGTTCTGCCTGTTACATGCATTGTCTTCTTTCAAAATACACTTCTGTTTTCACAGGAAATTTACCATTTACAGTCTCTTTCAAAATAAATGCACTTTGTCAGTACAACACAAATTGATGTTTTTTTTTTCCTCCAACAACAAACGCACATGGCTAGGTTTAGGAAAAAAGAACAGGGTTTGGCTTTAGAATCTTACAGGACGCGAACACCGCTCTCCCAGGTGAAAGTCAGTGTTTGTTGGACCCATCCACTGACCCTCCTGCCAATTCTACTTGGACTTTCACTGCCCATTAAACTGACATTAAAGGACTGCTTTTTTTTGTCAGCGTGTGACGCCGCAAGTCACTGCCCAAGCACCGGATTACGATGACTTCAGAGTGAGACCAGGTTGGCCCAATGCTAAAATACGTATACACACACAGACAGAGCCTTCTATCTGTACTCTTTTTACTTAAAAATTTGCACTACGGACTGTAAAGGTGCAGACACACCAAACTGACATCAAAGAACTAGCGGCGACGAAAGCCAACTGTTACGTTGTCTACGTCGTCCTGTGTCAGTTACATTTGAACACACTACACGGACAACATCCGACGGCCAAGTGGCACGTACGTTCTGCGCCTGCGTGAGAGAGAGCGGAGTGAGAGAGTGGTACATCCTGTCAGCCGAGGGGTTTCCTATCTGTGCAGCCGAGCACCGCAGCACCTCCACGGACTATTACATCCAGATGGTCCCGGTGTTTCCTCCGCAGGCTCCACTTCACTCAGCTGCCCGATAAACCCGCTGCTTCTTCCCACTTTAACCTGAATAACAAACCAGAGCTCGGTGCGGAGATCCAAATGGAGAGCCGAGGCTAGCTCAGAGACTAGCGGAGGCTAACTGGCTGTGCTTCCCTCTGGTCATGCTGCGGCTAACGCTTCGCTAGCCGCTCCCAGCTAGCTCCAAAAGTGGGAAGAAGCAGCGGGTTTATCGGGCAGCTGAGTGAAGTGGAGCATGAGGAGGAAGCACTGGTTAGCCCTGGTTTCACTACAGGCAGATTCACTCGCTACAGGGGCGAGGAAATAAAACCCTGAACCTCTCTCTCACCGACAAGGTCTGCTGCCAATTCAACATGCTCAATCGGCCAAAAAGCCGCTGTGCCGAAGTGCCAACGGTGCAGGACACACCGCAAAAACTAGGGCAACAGACGCTCACCGACGGCCAGACTTTGGTCAACGGCCGACCGCATAGCGTCAAAGTTCAAGGTGTAATGTTATGATGAAGTAGTATGTCCCAACTGTGTGCGTACTCCATGCAACAGTAAGTACTTTGTAAGGGCAGCTGCAGTATGGACCGAAAGTAAAATGAATTGACTTTTGGTTTCACACAGGACACCAACAATGGTCTTCCATGACCCATCCTCTACCCTATGCAGACATTCTTGCTTTCTATACTACCTATTGCCTGACATCCTCCAGTGGAATTCTGCATCCACCACACAAAGGATCCTGTTGTCATGTTGCCTGACGATGCAAGCAGTACGAAGAGTACTGTACAAACAGCACATTGTATTGTAGGTAATAAATACATTTAAATTAATATTAACATAGGCCATGGTGTCGAATAAATTCCTCCTGTGACCGTGATGATGAAAGGCCTTCACGACAGACATTTAAACATCATAATCAACACAAACTATTGACCTGCACTTCATGTTTCATTAATCCCATGACCCCCAGAATCCCTCTAGGTCATTGGGTTGAGAAGCTCTGAATGACAGAGCATCATTGATGGCTGAACTCCAGCGCTCATCCCGCAGGGGACCGGCTACCAGGAATCAGACCGGCCGGGTCAATGGTTAAATCAATGTAATGCTTCAGCTCTGACCGCTGTCCTCACCTCCCTCTCTCCCATTAGGAATACTATGACAAGGGAGACTACGTTATCCGGGAGGGAGAGGAGGGCAGCACCTTCTACATCATCGCACAGGGGAAGGTAACGTGTGTTTTACACTGTAACAGACAACATGAACAAGCAGGACACACACACACACACACACACACACACACACAGGAGCACATCATGGAACTTGTCATTTATGTCATGACCCTCAAACTGCAGCTCTGTTTGGTTATCTCAGAGGGTCTCCACCATTCAGGGTCTCCACTAAAGCCTCCTCTCAGGTTAGAAGCTCTTTAATCACCTGTTTCATAGCTATGATATATCAGATTATAATTATGCCTAAAAACCCAATTGCAAAAAAAACAAAACCATTTAATCATTGTACATTTATGCAAACCAAAGATACCTTACATTTGTATGTTATGATTCAGCAAACAGCGCTGTGGTAGATATTAGGTCAGGTTTAGGCACAAAAACCACTTGGTTATGGTATGGTATGGTATGGTCTTAAAAATTCCCAGATTATAGAGTCAAAATTCGGCCTTAGAACGCATCGATATCTCTGTAAAAAACAACCACTTTTTGTGCCCTAAAAAGCTGCCAAAAAAACTATGATGGGTTGTTAAAACACATCTGTTTTTGTTGGTTTTGAACAGTGGTCTACATCTTGGTAGACGTCTCACCTACATGACATCCACCATGGGCTGGGCAACTGGGCTGTAGCATATAAGACATGGGCCAAACTAAAAAAATCCAAGTACATGTCAATTTTCCCCATACATGGATTCTTTCATTTTTGGTAGTTCGCCTTGGCAACCAAATGGCCAGGAAAAATGTTGGCATCGTACATTTCTGCAAACCACAGATACATTACATTTGCATATTATTGTGTAGCAGATATGTTGAAAGTAGACGTTTCACCAGCACTGTGGTTAACACATGGTTAGGTTAAGGCACAAAAACCACTTGGTTACTGTTAGGAAAAGATCATGCTTTGGCTTGATATACCCAGTTTTGGGGGCACAGTCTCCACTGGAAACACAGCGATGTCTTGGTAAAAAACAATTGCTTTTCGTGGTACTATCCTGACTGGAATCAGAAATGTGTCACTACAAATCACCCACATTGGGTGGCTAAAAAGCCGCTGGACACACTGAAATGACTCGCTCAATCACAGCCGCCAGTGTGGCAGGCATCTCGCATAGGTGATATGCTATCTCCCCACCCCTTCACCTCAAGATGACACAGTCAGCTCATATACTACGTCACTTTAGACACATTAATAGGATACGTATGAAACATGCAAATGTAACATATTCATCATTTGCAGAAATGTACAAAGCCAAGATTTTTTTCTGGTGACCGGGCTGGTACCTGGGATATTTTGGCATAATTTTTGTACAGTGGGAGGAATTGGAGACAAGTTGTCCATCTTTTTAAATACAGTCTATGGCAAATGTGAACTTTATGGTGGCGTGAGATGAAAAGTTGGGTTATCACCAGAATCATTGGGATTCATTCTGTGGGAGCCATGAATGTCTATGCAAAACTTCATGTCCATCCATCCATCCAGTAACTGCTGACGTATTTCAGTCTTAAAGTGATGGACAGACTGATATTTCTATCCCTAAAGCCACTCTTCTATCTCTAGTTTTTTTTCCATGGCTAAAAAACATTAAAGGGATAGTGCACCCAAAAATGAAAATTCAGCCATTATCTATTCACCCATATGCCGAGGGAGGCTCAGGTGAAGTTTTAGAGTCCTCACAACACTTGCAGAGA